AGGCCGTGGGTTGGAATTGAACCCTCAGCTGCTGTGGCAAGGACACAGCCTTTGTACACGGCGTGCCCGGTAGCCCAGTTATTCAGTTTTTTACTCTGACCCACTGATTTTTAAAAGTTAAAAGTTGAAAATGAAACTCTGGTGGCTTTTCACTCTTGTCCTGTATGCTGGTTAGTTCATGCAAACAGTTTAATTTTGGCCATGTTTAAAATAAGATGTAGAATAAAGTGATTTGGATGAAACAACATCATTTTAAGCTCCGATTTAGTTATGTGTTTTTTGCACGTTGTGTTCAAGGGGTGTTGTAAAAGTGAAAATCCAACAGTAATTTCAGTTATTACAGTTTGTGGCTATGATAAATTGAAAACATGCATTGAAAGGCATGTATTGTTTTGTTTTTCAAATCTGCGGTAAAATAAATACAAAATCCAACTATTTAAATTTGTATGCCCTTCCCTAAGCCAAAATAAACAACGTAAGTCCCTCCCTAGTAAGGGTGCTCCACATCATCTCGTTCATGATAATACCGGTATAATTTTTAATATTAAATGAAAAATTTATATCTTGATATCTGCAATATTTCAACTTGTTGACATATTGACGTCATACTGTTACCCACAGCAACAACACTGACTCCATTGTGGTTCCAAAAAGAGGAGCAGACTCAGACAGACTCAGACTCTTTCAGTGACTTACTGCTCAGAGGGAACTCATTCAGCGGCCCCTCTGGCAGCAGCACAGTGTCTCTCCCTCTCCTCTCTCTTACTGTGTGCACATGGTAGTCTGTTTCGTCAAGCAATTTTGTCATAAACCTTTGGTAATGTAAACCTAAGTGAAGCTCGAAGATCAACAAAAAACTAAATATATGTGAATGTGTGATAGTTGTGGTATCATAACAGCCTGTCACAGGTTACAGCGTGATGATTAGAGGAGAAATGGCAGAGCATAAAGGTCCAGGTGGGAAAAAACAACTTAGGATCACTTAGGATTTTGCTAAAAGAAGGAAATCACCTGTTGATTTATATATATAGATCCCAGGGGACATTTTTGTATTCAGGAGTTGTTTAAATGTGTAATTTGTGGTAGATTTTATTTTGTTGAACTATTAATACTGTATACAGAATCTGAATCTCACTCTGAGTTACTGTGATAATATTGTGACATCATTTGAGGGCCACATCGCCAACGCCTACTCCCCAGTGCTTAAAAAATGATTTGACATGCCTCCCCATATTTGCACCACCCCTCCTCCCTCATAAGTAACAAACAGTCCCTTAATTGTGACTATATAAAGAGTGTTTTTGCACACAATTATGTTTGGTTTTTATGTGCACGTCACAGGTTGCCAAGCTACCCACAAATCATGTGCCAGGACTTGTTTCTCTCTCAGCACATGAGCCTACATGTATAACGCCAGTATTAGCTTGAGCTGTGTTTGGATGTGGACGTGCAGGTTTTATAGAAAAATGGACCATTTTACTTGAAGCTATTATGAAATGCCCTCATGTCTAATACACATACCAATTACCTCAAATAATTGACTGACCTTTATTTCAACTGCGGCCTACATTTTCCCATTAAAGCGCCAACTGCCTGTGTTCACAGAGAATCTAAATAAAGTAGAAGGCGCTCTGCATTTCAGTGCAGAAAACCCAGACAAATTAAATCCTGTCTGTCGAGTAAAACCCTGGAAACACAGAGGGGGGAGCAGAACGATGTGTGTAAACATGTATACTCTGCTGTATGTTGGGGAGAGGGAGAGATGGCAGCCTGCCACAGTGAACTCTCTGACCGGGCCCCCCTCCAGCTCCCTGAGCAGTGCTGAGGCCAACTTTGGGATGGGAGCCAGTAGCAGCATAGCGAGGCTCAGGCACAGCTCAGCCCGGCCAAGTGGAACACAGTCGCTATGTAGATTTCTGGGATCTTTCACAGTGTGTCAGATTACAGCGAGCTCTGTCCTCTCTGTTGCCTTGCTGGAGCATCTTCTGCTCATGCTGCCATGCCAGGGCCTTTTTTTGGAATCCACATTTCAGTGCAAGGCACAGGCTTGGCATGCATTCATTCACGGGTTATAAGAGGGTGATCATTAGACACAGGCAGCACATACAGAGTAATATAGACTGCACAAACACCCTGAACACTAAGGGAATAGATTAACTAACCTCCATCATTCCCTTGCAGTGAAACTGCCTTGTGAATGTGTAATTGTCCCAGTGTAACTGTTTTAACTCTCATGAGAAACAATGAAAACTGGGGAGAGCAGAGTGATCCAAATGTTTCTGTTGAATTTGTTGCTGTTTTTTGAACAAAAACAAGGTGTGCCAGATGCTGTGGAGGCTGTCGACAGCAACAGTGTGAAAGTGCTGCCATCTGCAGGACACCCTCCTCACTACAGGTCTCAGTAATTGTAAACAAATGTTGGTTCATTAAATAGGAATGAAAAAGGGAATCTCTGTCAAGTACACCAGCTTCTCATTAATAATAGTTTTATGGAATGGAGTCTCCAGACTTGGGGGGCTTAAACTAGATCCTCTACGTACTTTCCTAGAAAATCTTTTGTCAAAGCCAGAAAGTCAATATACAATCCTATTAAAATGTTTAAAGAAACAGTTCACTCCAAAATCAAAAATTCATATTTGTCCTCTTACCTGTAGTGCCATTTATCAGTCTAGATTGCTTTGGTGTGTGTTGCCGAGTGTTGGAGATACCGGTCTTCAGCTGAAAACACACCATCATGTGACACGCATCAAGTGCCACTGCCAGCACACACCGGACACGTCGCACCGCAGTTTGTTAACAGACAACCACACAGAGGTATTACTACTTTCACTGAAAGATCTGTACCTCTTGCACCTCTGCATTAGTTTAATATCATGTGTGGACAGCCTCTAATTAAACTTTGTCACATGGAGAGCTGATCTCCAGAGCTATGACTCACCAGGCAATATCTTTTTGGCCATTGTCTTTACAGTGATGAGATTGTGGGTCGTTTAGCTTGAGATATTTCTCAACCTCAACAAGTCTCTCATCATGCATCTACGGTGAGGAAAAGAATCGAGCTGCTAGAGGAGCAAAGAGGAGCTGCAGAAAGCAAGTAGGGAAATGCATTTAATTTTGGGGCCTGCAAGGCTGGAAATAGGACATGCCGTAAAGTGTCGAGGGACGGTGCGTCCAGGAGCACCAACGCTGCAGCCAGTGTGGGGTTGTACATTGAAAGCAAGTGTTTTTTTTGACACAGGGCGTTCACTGTCAGTGTGTTTTCTCCTGAATGTAATAGAACTAGATGGCGCTCAGCTGGTGGTGCTCAAATGCTCAAAAATTATGACCTGGTTACACAAGATAATCCACAGACCTTGTTGTGAGTAGTTTCATGTAGGAACTATTTTCTTTCTGCCGAACTACACCCACCAACTGAATCACTGTGCAGAGAAGGAAGTGTGCATCTACTCACGGTTGAGAGGCTTGTGCTCATGAAAGAACGAGGTGTAAACATTTAAGGCACAATTCTCCCACAACATGACCATTTGCATAACAATTAGTCACGCTGTGCTACCTTGAATTCTAAAACTTTGATGCTAAAACCTCACTATTTAAAACTAAACTGACAATGACACTTACCTATGCGCTCCACAAAGCCAGATTTGTTTAGTTATTTCAGGGTCCAGTCAGACAACTTCATCACACTCAAAAGGCCTATAGCCCTATCTCTCCTGGCCTTCTGTAGAACACAGTTACAGCAGAAAGTAACATAAAAGTGTGTTACAGTGTGTGATACGGAAGCCACAATGCACCAATAAAGTAAATGTAAATATAGGTACGAACATAGAAAAACTAATACAAAAAAGAAACTGAACTCCGTATGTGAAGCAGAATGTTGGGGTGTGTCTTCATGAAAATTCAACAGGACATAAATTCACCTTAAACAAACAAAGGACGAACAGTTTTGCCGTTGTTTAAGTGGTCCCCAATCAATGATGCCGTTTTTCTTGGAGGCATGTGCGATAAAACAGTTTTCTTCATGAATTCAAGGTAACAACACGACTAACTGCTTTACAAATGGTCATTTTGTGGGTGAAGTGCTATTTTTAATGGTCTCTTTCTTGGCTAAGCTCTAACGTTAGCTAGCTCAGTGGTGCTAGGTGAGCTAGCAGTAGCTGCACGCTTCCTTCTGCACAGGGGAACTGCCCATTGGTCCGACATCCCATTGTTTTGACCATATTAAACCCATTGTTCCGAAGTCCGTTCCGAAATCATCATGATGCCCTGTGGTTAAGGTCTGGTTAGGTTTAGGCACAAAAACCACTTGGTTAGGGTCAGGAAAAGATCATGGTGTGGGTTAAAATGAAAAAGAAAGTAGCAAACACATAAGCTGTGAGCCTGCTCCACCTCAAGCCTTTCCCAGCTGACCCAGAGCCGGTCGTGGCACACCATCAAGGCAGAAATACGCCTGCCGGGAGCCGTTCAGCACCGCGGACCGTCGGACCAATGACATGGACCCCTGCACAGTTATATGGTTGGCAGTTGTAGTTCGGTACAAAGAAAATAGTTCCCGAATGAAACTGCTCACAACAAGATCTCACAACAAGATATATGGATTATCTTGAGTAACCAGGTCATGATTTCTAGAAAGAGACACTGATGGTGAGTTTTTCAAAAGTACTTTTTTGGCACTTTGAGCACCACAAGCTGAGTGCCATCTAATTCCATTATATTGGAGAGAAGGCAGACTTCTCTGCGGTCGATACCCTCAACACTCTGCAGCTCACATCGAACAATCTGGACTGATAAATAGCACTAGAGGTAAGAGGAAAAACTATGAATTTAGTACCTCCGGGGTTAGCTGTCCCTTTCACGTAAACCAAATACCAACTGTATACACTGAATTCATTCATGTTTAACACAATAATCATCCTCCTTAACAATGTAAAATCTCACAGACTTTTAAGCAACAACTAAAGCTAGCATTCATCCTCATGACAATAATGGACAGCAACAACTGGTTCAGAATTTCACAAATAAGGATTTTAAAGATTTTTATTGAAACAAAGATCAATTTCAGTCCCAGTCCCTTATGGTTTTCAAAAAGCGTGCTTTGGGTTTTAGCGCCAACATTTCATGACTCTTCTCCAAAGCCCTCTTTGCTTATACAGCAGCATGTATATACTCAGAGAAAAGAAAAGAAAAGAAAAACCTATACAACAGGTCATTTTGGCACAATCATCTCATACAACAGTACTCCTGTGCTGGCATATTGTTACTCTCAAACAGTTTGCTCTCTGTTGAAGCAAAACGTGTTTACTGATGAACTCATTCACAATGGATTCTGACCGTAATAGAGGTGTAATACAGTAATCATAGATGTTTCTGGAAAACAAGATACAGTAAGAGAGCTGAAAAGTGTCTTTCTTGTTAAAGGTTGCAGTACTGGGCGATGCCGACTCCGGTGATGAGACATTCACCTTTAGAAACTTCACGTTTGTCGCCCAGACATCAAGTCCCAGATCCAGCCTCAGCCTTGACCCAGCAGCATTGTTGTGATGAGTCTTGAAGCATTGGCCGTAATGTAGTGTTTGCATTAGGAGAGTGATACAATCTGAAACCTGGTGTTATACTGAAACACTTGAGCCCAGTCATGCAAATCCAATCTGGGGCAAAGGAGCCTCCTCTGACTTCACACACACACACACACACACACACACACACACACACACACACACACAAATTATTTAATAAAAAAAAAACAAAAAAAAACCACTGAGCAAGTTTCCACTGGGCGATAAATTATGACAAAAGAAATGAGAACAGGAAGTAGAGAATAGTGTGACACGTTCCTTTGCCAACATTTGGTAGAGCGTTTTTGTTTCATCCCACTCAGGTAAGCACTTTGGTATACATGCTGGTCAGAGCCACGTCGAATTGATTACATACTAAATTCGGTTGGACTAGGCCTTTGCTTGGCTTTCGATATCCTTGGGCAGTTTTTTTTTCAAGTAAAGACTGTTCATTGTAACACATTCATAAAGCATGCACTCTGATGGACAAAGAGAAAAGTGTCATTTGGACAAAACCCTCAGGTAACAGCGAGATCAGGAGAAAAAGTGCTGATTTTTCATATTCACATAAAAAGGTTGATATAAGAAATGCATTCACCGACTAAACTCGACCCGCTCGTTCATCAGGTTGAGTTCCGATATACAGTTCTAATTTGTCGTCGGATAGGTGGATCCATCTTCTCGGAGAGGAGAGCTGATCCGGGATTTCAGGTCAACCTCCGTAAATATCTGACATCACATTTGAAAAGGCAAAAACTGGTCGCAGGGGAAGTGCCTCTCTCCTCCGAGAGGCCTCCGCCTGGAAGATGATCGAGGATGGCTTCGTCTTAACAGTCGTCTCGATGGACTATCGCGTGGGTTGATGAGCAGACGAAACAGAACATTTGATCTTTTTAAAAGACACTGTAAACACATTTTAACAGAACCAAAAGGTGACGATGATGGTTACTAAGGAGATTTCAGATCTGTGGAAGAAAACTTAATTTTTTTTGTTAACATTTTCGAGATATTAAGAAAAAGCCTGCAGATCTGCATCCCCTGCTTCCTGCACCATCTTACAATTAGAGGATCTTCTGAAGCCGAAACTCTTCAGACAACTTTGAATAGTTCTATTGCTACAAAAGCCATCATGACCTCAACTGGAAAGACAACCAATTAAGAGCTTAATATAGTTTTTCATTGATACAATATGTGATGAACCATGACTAAAGACCACTGCTGTAACCGATGAACAAGCGCTGCAGCTCGTCACCGCTGAGTGAGGAGAACTGTGTTTGAAGAAAACCTCCAGCTTGAGAGCAACTGGAAACTTTCACACATGTCCCCTCTGTTAAGACATCTGCACATGGTTTTAGAAAATAAAAGCCGACCTGCATCTGACTGTGCATTTAGATGCATCGTTTTGATTTCATCAATAGTGATATCTGCGTCTCTTTAGAAGAGAAAAAATATAATTAACGCCAACAGATTGACAATGAGATGGGCAAGGCAGCTTCTGAATAAAATACTGGCTGACATTCAAGATGTGAGGACAGAAAAGAAGAGACAGCTTTAAAGTACTGATATTGAGGAGTGTAAAACAGACTCATCCCCCCAATTTAAGTGTCAAAAATAAATAAAAACAGAGAAATAAATTCAACATCATAACCATTCGATTCAGTATATGCGAGGGGGAAACTGATGCTTCATTTCTCAAAAACAAATTAGTTGCATTTGGCGTACAATCTGAAGTTTTCATCTCAGTGTTCCCTCCAGTTTCAAAAGCAGGAAAAAGATTATTTGGATTATCTCCCGAGAAAGTGGGAAAGCTTCCGTGATTGACTCTTTCAGACCTCTGTGCACTATAAGCAGGGTGGGCTGTTGAGAAAAATAAAGCCACACAGAACCTTTTTTTTTTTTTTTTTTGGATGCATTCATTGTAACTACACAGATGGACCCGGCCACACTCGGCCCAACCCCATCTTCCAAAAAAAGAAAAAAAAAAATAAAGTAAAGAGAGAGAAAAAGATTGTGTGTCCTGCTTAGTCCTCATTAAAGCCTTCGGCCCAATGAGGGGAATACTCCTTTCATGGCATCTCTCATGAGAACAGTTATTTTTCTTAGCACAAGTGGAATCCAGAGTTTTCCTTTATCTGCTTGGTTTCCAGAGATAACAGGGAAACAGTGTCTAAGAACTACTTTTAAAGTTGCTGTTGATCGTACTCGGCAATAAGTCTCTTTATATGTGCCAGTTTGTTGTGTAGATATTCACAGCGGTTCTTCTCTTGGCTATAGTTTGGATTAGTCTGCAAGGCATATGGAAAAGAGTCACAATCTGACCATCCACTTTCATAATTATGTCATCAATATCTGTTACAGCAGGACTTTAACTTACCTTTTTTATTTTATGATACTCTTCAAGTATCTGATTGTGGATTGTCTGTGGAGAGAACACACAAAAAAGGATTAGTGGTATGAATAAACACTGACTGAGCATCTTTTTAGTTAAAAAATAATAACAGATCTGTGTGCGTTGTTTAAGGAGTCTACCTTGTACTTGTCTGTGCCTTGATGGAGCTGTTTGAGCTCATTGTCAAGCACAGTGAACTGCCGGGTGATGCACTCTATCCGAGCATGCAGACCCCGGTACTCACTGTACTCGGCGTTGAAATCGTTTTTATACCTCTGACGCTGCTCCAGAGAGCTGATCACCGTGTACTTCCTGGGAGGGAAATAAGAGAGAATGTTACTGAATGGAGATTTTGGAGAAAGCCACAATATGTACATTAAAGTCACTTCAGCCATTTAGGCCAAGTGAAAGTAATAATGGTTATTGGAGGGGGACTTCATGGCCTGGTTTGCACGTGGTATTCACATGCGTCTTGGGTGTTTAGATTGTATGTGGACAGCTCGAATTACAAGTCTGAATGCACCCAATGCATTCAATCGCTCAGATCACATTTGGAGGTGACCTGGGCCACATATGATCCATTTCTTTCAGCAATGTGTGCGCTAATATGTCCTTGGCCAGGGTGCAGGACTGCCTACTAAACTGACATCCTTGCCGGATAAACAAACTTTCTGTTGCTGCTGTTACACAGGTTAGAGACAGTGCTGAAGGAGCTGCTCTCATCCCAGCAAACAGTCAGTTCAATATCTGCCCAGTTTGCAGTAGCTAAAACAGCAGCAGCCTTTCCCAACAAACTCTTACTGAAACCGAAACAGCCTCACTCTGTCGCATGCGTCAGAAGCCTTTTTTGGTTTCTTTGTCTGACCAAGAATCAGTGAGGAAAATGTGGCGGCGGGACACAGCTATGACAAAACAGAGGAATGGGATACACAGAATCATTTCATAACGCAGAATATTACTCAGATAATATTCAGGTGGATGATGATGATGACGAGGAGGAGGATGTGGACCACACACGGAATGTGGAGGACAGCTCTGCCCCTTCATGCAGCTGCGGTGCCAAATGAAAGACAGGAAAGGGAGTGGTGACAGCCAGACAGGTAACTCCAGTGGGGAGAGGCAAAGGAAGAAATGTGCCTTTTAATTTTGTTTTTCACAATGAATAGAACAATAAAACACATTAGAATCAGTGTGCAAAGTTTCTGTGCGTAACGATTTTTTTCAGATGACAGACTGGCCTTTAGAGGTGTCCACCGGTGATCGATCACTCAAGATGCATGTCAATACCAGGTGAAAACAGACGTTATGAGAGGAACCAACACAAACCAATTCAATAAATTTGCCCTGGGGTTTACAAAGCTATAAATTCCCTTCAGACAAAATCGAGACGCTGTACTCACAATAAATAGTCTGCCACCTCAGGTGATGACGAAGGAATACTGGTACTGTTGCACATCCCATTCAGATCTGAAACAAAGTGACACAGTTAGACAATGGCATTTATCCGTGGTGCAACAACAAAAAGATTGTTATTCATAATTTGTTTTTGTTTTTTAAATCATTCATCTCTTAAAAGTGTAATCCTCCGAAGAGGATATGTGCCAGTTGGATTCACAGGCGTGTATTTGAGGTTATTGAAGCCATAAAGCTGAACAGCAGGGGTCTCCATTTAATCAGTGAGTCACACTCTGGTCACATGACGCATCACAGACTCACAGTAATGACTAACTGGTGTCCATCCACATATAACGTACTACTTTTATTCAGAAATCTCTCTTCTGATGCAAGAGCTGTGAAACTGATTTTTGTAAATTGAGCATGTTGCACAGAGGAATAATCTGTGATGTGTGCGTGTGCTGCTCTCACCTGTGCTTTTGTGTGGAATACTGTTGCTTTTGAGGTTTCCTGGGCTCATCTCGCAGGCTCGGTTCGGTCCAGGCACACGCTCCCCACGACTCCTCTTCTTCTCCTCCTTCTCCTGCGCCCTTTCTCTCACCTTCTCCTTGTCTTTGTCTTTGCTCTTCTCCTTGTCTTTATGCTTTTTTGACTTCTTCCTGGACTTGCTGTTGGAGGATGGACTCTTGGCCCGAGGGCCATCTGGGGCTGTGTGTTTAGGAGATGATGTGGCGACGCTGGGTGCTGTGAGCATCGTCGAGCCCGTGAACAGCGAAGGAGGTTGGCTGAGCCTCTCGGACACCACTGTTTCCTGAGAGTCACAGTCTCTCCCGTTGTGGCTGGAGTCATTGCTGACGTCCGACAGTGCTTCGAAAGGACGAGGGATGTCCAGCACGGGGAGCGGCTGAGAGCTGGACGTCGTGCCGCTGTCTGACGTAGAAACCGCCACTCCTGGCTGCGCTCCGCCTGCCTCCCCTCTACCATTAGAGGAGGAGCTGAGCTTGCCATTAACTGGGGCTGTTGCAGCCTTGCTGGCAAGGTGTGATATCCTGGGCTTCTTGTTTGCGAGAGGGTCAATGAAGTCAACAGCGGGCCGTTTCTGGCAGAGAGATAGCAGTTTTAGTAGCAGAATCTAAAACAGGGTTCAACATGAATTCAATTCCCCTCAGAGTGAGTGAGAGGGAAAGTGTATTCCAGGTCAGAGCAAACAAAAATGGTCTGAGCCTGAGGAGGACAAGGGAGCGTACAGAGGAGAGGATGTAGTACAAGCAGATAGAGAGAGCAACACTAAGAATGGGTACAAAGAAGGTTTAGTAGAGGATCTATATTCTCAGTAGCACTGGTGATGATGACTGTGCCGTCATTTCATAATATCAGGGATTACAATTCAGACAGGCCCTGTTTGACCCAGACACACTGAAGTCTTTGGGAGCGGCAGACCCAAACAATGCGTTGGCTGTCCCGACAGGACTAATAAGGGTTTCTGTAACAATAGCGAAAGCCACCGAAGAGGTCTGCCTGGGCTTCTTAGACTGTTTCCACACTAAGCAATTTTGAAAATATTTTCCTCTTTGTTTTGACTACATAAGTTGTCATTATTATAAACTTTTCTTACACCAAAAAACTGCTAAATGACAAGTGGCAACCTCCAGGGCTGAAAAATGAAGCCAATATGGAAGTGCCGAAAAACTAGACATGTTTACAGTCTGGTACAAAAAACGGTTTTGGTCTCTGTATCTAATTTCAACATTCATGACAACTGTGCGGGGGTGAAGTTTCATATAACTCTTTCATTTTTATTTTATTTAGACGACATAAACCAAATATTTAAGGACAGGGCTGCTGTCCGCGAGGTGTCGCTACAGTCTATAGCCCCCTTTTACACTGCCTGTTCAAGGCAGGAATATTGTGCTGCCTCACTGTTCTGTATAAAGAGTACGACTGCAGAATGGGGAGACAGAGTTGTTTTGCCTTTAAGCTGCCAATGGAAGTAGTAACAGCACTGGAGCAGTGCCTGTGTAAGTGGGACGGCCAGCAGGATGGGACCATGGGCAGGATGGGTGTGACGTTTTGACATGTTAAATGTGCGACCCACCGCAGGAGATTTAACAAGCGGCTAGTAGCACTTGGCAGTTAACTCAAAATAGAAGAACAGCAGCCGAAAATGTCCATAAATTGGGAAGGTAACTAAGTCCTGGAGCTCCTTATCCTCCAAGGAGAGAATGAGATCAGCTGCTATATAACTGAGATGGTAAATGATTGTTATTCCCATGTTATGGCATTGCTTATTGCTTATAAAGCCCCGCTGATGCATATATTGTATGTCACACTAGAGCAGTGGTTCCCAGCTGGTCCAAAAGTGGGTCGCGGGTTGATTCTGGATGGACCGCAAGTGGCAAATGTGACAAGTTTGTAAAAAACACACTTCATTTTTAAGTACAGTGAATTTCTGGCACAGAGCTTTTATTTTTAAGTGCCGTTTTCTGCTGTGGAGTGAGTGACTAACTAACGGACAGCCACTTGACAGAGACAGCAAACTAGCTAGACGACATGGCCAAACACAAGTATGACACTGAATGAATTGAACTGGGTGGACCTTGAACTAAAGACGAAGGAGAAATTTGGACCCTGTGGCTGAACTCTAGAGGCCGACGCTGTTGTGTTTGATGCTACAGTCGTGCAGTTCTGTGTAAAAATGCAAAGCAGGTATAAAGAAGGGGCTTAATTGTGGCCCTATAGTGCGATTTTTGCGTAAAAGGGGCTTATGAGTCAGATCCACTCCTTCACTCCTCCACAGCTCTACCCTCTTGTCCAAATGTGATCACTTCTAGCTCCAAAAAAACAGGATGAAGATGGCCAAAATGCCAAACTCAAGGCCACAAAACAACACTACAAACCAATTGGTGACGTCGAGGCAGCTATGTCAGTCTATCTTATAGAGTCTATGTTGACAACAGGCTGCAGAGTGGATAAAGCAGCGCTCTAATGTTATAGCATGGACAGGGAAAATACTGGCAATGTATGTTTGCATGGTGTGTAGCAGTATTGTCAGGAGGCCACTGATCTCAAACGATGAATACAGAGATTATTTTACCTTTGTTCCTATATTCCAGAATGAATGGAAAACTTTTTGAAAATGGCTGAAATGAAATGCCAGCGGGGACGGAAGTTATATTTATATTTATCCGTCTTTGTGTGGTCATGGTCTCACCCTGTTTGCATTGCAGCTCTCCCCTGTCCATCCCTCACCTATCTGAAGTTTACACACCGCTTTACCTGCTGAGTTGCTCTCTATTTATACCTATGAATCTAAAAGCAAGCCTGGGGTGCTGTTTGCTTGTGTGTTTGTGTATTGTGTTTACTGAGGGAGAGAGCGGAAAGGCGGGGGCATACAGTAGGTGTCTGAGGTGAGAAGAACCTGAGCGGAAGGAGCTATTAATATAAACAGACTGGCTCCTCCTTCCTCCACCTAATGGAAGTGTAAACAATGGGTAAACTCAGGAGTCTGGGATGACCTATGAAGAGAGCAGCAGGTCGAGTGATACGGAAAAATGGATTATACAATGAGCAGGGAGAAAAAGAGTTTACTACAATGAAATGTAGCATGGGGGCCATTTGATTTAGTAACAAAGCTTTAACTCTCATGCTAACAATGTATATTAGTTCAGATGTTCTTGGAGAGCTCATAACAACCATGAGTAAGTAATACTGATAAATTGGAAGCAGTTCAGAAAACATATACGCAGGGGGAAACTCAAGGACAAGACAGAGAGGAAACACAAATCCGTTGAGTGGGAGCCAGAGGATTTACAGAAACCCTCCCTGGGAAATACCAGAAACCACCAGCCTGCAGGGACAACCCAGTTATCAGACTGCGGGTAAACTCATGGAAATGTAGAAAAAATATCCAATACACATCCTTGTCCCCAGTTCCCCTCTGATTTCTACTGGATGAGTGAGGAAAACTGAATGCAAAAAAGCTCTGGTTAAAGATTAGCTACGCATATTTACACTCTACTAAATTAACATCAAGCAGCTTGAGAGTCTCAAATGTCGGCATAATAACAGCCTGGAAATTAATAAAGTAATGCAATAAACGCACTGTTGAAAAACAGGTATTCCAACAATATTATAATATTTCAGTAGAGAGAAAACTACTATTTGTATGCCATCATGTTCATGAGAATATCATCCATCACTAGTAGGAGAGAAAGAGGAATTACTGTACAACTGGGGAGGTGAAAGCAGAGTGGCAGCTTAGGGAAAAGTTAGGGCCTTTTCTACTGTCACTTTTGGCTACACAGATTTGCATTTCCATTTCCATTATCAGTTAAGACACGCAGTGCCACACAGATTGGCATCAGAGATGGACCTTCTGAGGAGTAGGCCCGAAAGCCGGGCTGCCCACCCTAAAACGGGTAGTGGGGATGTCTCTCTGACTGCAGCTAACCCCTGACAACCCCATGTGTGTTGCAAGATTCAACTCACCTCTGTCTGCAGGAGACCAGAGAGAGAGGCACTTTTAAAAGTCTCTGTATAGCCCAGATTCCACCAAACACTTTCTGTATGGTACCTTTGGAACGAAAGCCCAACCCTTCAGACATGGGACCAAGACCCTAGCATTTCAGATGGATGGAAGATCAACTCATTACTAAAAGTGTGTGTCATATAAAAACTAAAGTTATGGTTGAAGTTGTCACAGTGAAATTTAAGGTGTGTTGATGGATGGCACCAGATCTGTGTGCTAGGTACCACAACAGAGGGGGGACCAAAAATGGTAATGGTATGGAACGGTTTCATTGGTACCATCCACACCTTTTTACAGTGTAAATGGAAAAAAAGCGTACTGAACTGAACTGCTAGGTGGAAACGGGGCTTAAGTTCAGCTCTCAGTACTTTTGTAGCTTCTCACTGAAACTCTGTGGTTTGGAGTTTAGTTTCTCTCCTGCATCCTGTTTTTACTTTAGATATATGCTTTATTTTACTGTTTCATGTTCGCTGTCCGCCGTGTCAGAAGTTATGTGAAGCTGCTGCTCAAAAACTAAACATTTCCTTATTTTTCTGCCTCACGATAAAAAAAATTCCTTCACAAAATAACAAGGGGCTTTTATTGTGAAGAATCAACAGGAAATTAAGTATCACTGAATTAGTGCAACTTTGGTAATGGCTATTCTTCAATAAAGGCAAGTCTAATAATACAGCAGGGAGGAAAGTAAAAGCAGAAACAGCCACAGTGAGATGTTGATGAAGAGCTGCAGACAACAGGCTCTTACTGTACCTCTGCAAACAGCTCACCTCCAACAGGTGAACTTCTTTTAGCAAAAATAACAGGGGACTTCAGCTGTGGACTGTGGACTTCAAACCTTCATCACTCAAGACAAGCCATCATCAGTGTGACACACCTTTATGTGGGCAGCCCTGTTGTACTGGAAATGCAAATCCATGTGGCACTGGGCTGTCGGCCCAAACCAAACCAAGTCAAGTCAAGCCAGGCCAGCCCATGACTGTCGAAAAGGGGCATAAGTGTGTGAAGGTGAGAGAGAGGTAGAAGAACGATCAAGACTCACCTGAGATGGCGAGCTGCTGGCCAGCTCTTTGGGCGGGCTCTCCAGTGGAGGGGCAGAGCTGTTCTGGGCCTGGCTCTGTTTCCTGAAAATGAACACATGCATGTATGAACACACATACAAGGAAGCTTGAAATCATTTCTGCATACCAGCACTGCAGGAACACTGATTTATCTATCCAACTACCTGTCAAGGTGACAGATTTCCATCTGCACTGATGCAACAACATCAAAGGCTTCACCGACATCTGATTGTTCCTCCAGTGCAAGTGTTGCTAACTGGTTTGACCAACACATCAAAGGCTGAAGCCATCACGGCCATGTGTGCCCTGTGAGCTTGAAAATACTCGAGAAAATGCACAAACCACATAGCTGCCATTTCTCCAGTGACAAGCTAATTCTACGGATGTATGAGGACCTTAAAAACAAGTTACAACAGTTGCTTTGTGAAGCTCAGTGGGTAGCTATGACAACAGAGCAAATGAGGGCCTACTTGACAAAGCAGCACTTTATCATAACAACACACTTCATGTCGGAAAGTGGTCGGGAAAAACTTCAATCATTAAATCTGTTTACAAGTTTGCAACCAGTTTAATAGTCCAATTCTGCTGTTTCTTCTCCACAGAAGAATACGTGTAATCTCACAGACGCTGCTTTGATGGTTGAACAATTTTGGCAGCTAGTTCAAGCCGAGTGAGAAAGTGGCATGACACTCTACAGTGACAGTGAGAAAGCGAGAGATGCAGAATATGGTACTGCAGCTCATTTTGCGCATGGATGTTTGAGAGGTTTATCAGACAATATGCACACTACACAGTTTACTACATGGCCATTCAATGAGATCAGGGACATGCTGCGCGGCTCGCTTTCATACCACTCAATCCCTGACCACTTGCACATGAGTTTCTCTGCAGTGTTTACATCTGGATTTAGAGCCAAGAACCATCTTAATGTCAGGTGTGAACAGAGCCTCAGATTAATTATGATGCACTAAACTAGTCCGACCTCTTTATGTAGCAGATTTATCCGTCACACAGCAGAAGTGGCAAAACAACAGCGCTGTGCCAAACAACTGCTGCTCAACCTCGATAAACAGAGCTCAAAGTTAGCCAAGACGAAGTTCATACCTAACAACCAACCCGTTGATCCTGTCTTGTTTTAATACATATTCACAAGCAGTTAAAGGTGCAGTCTATGATTTCAATTCGATACACTTTGTCAAATTCATCAAATATCTCCTCATGGTCCACTAGGGGTCTGTTCTGTGTGTGTGCTGAGAAATATCCGATGTTCATATACAGCCCTGGTTCTCTAAATTGGAAACAAAGTGGATCGGACCGAGCGACACAACAGCGAGGGGATGTGCTGGTGCACAGGACAGGGGAAAAGCACTGGGAGCGGTAAATGTTGTAGGCCTAAATGACAGGAGGGGTGTATCTGTTTGGGTGTTGAATTCAAATTTCACACTCCACCTGTAAGATTCAACTGTTAAAGCTGAATTTCAGTGTGTTGCTTGCTTGATCAGACAATTCTGGTTCTGCTTCAAGGGATTTACCGATCCAATTAAAGAAGCCACTGCTCCAAACACGACATTATAACCTGACATGCTGAAGAGCACTTTGCACACGCAGAGATGCTGCTGTCACAGCTGATGACATTATCAGAAGGGGGCAGTTGGGTACACCAAGACTCGTCAATGCCCCACCCTAGTTCAATCAGGGTGTGTGTGCTTGTGCGAGTGTGTCCCTGGTAGGGACAGGCAGATAGACAGGCAGGAGCTACGAGTGAGACAGCAGGCAGACCGATATGGCTGAACCTTGGACGGGTGCCACCTCACACACGGATCAGCATGTGCTGGAACACTGTTGCATCATGTGCGTTCCAATCGTGTTGCTGTGCTACTCCTGCGTGACTGACTGCATTAGCTCAAACTCTGGAGGAGCTGGGGAGGGGGAGGTGGTATTAGGTGGGAGGTTGTGGTTCTTAATCAGCTGATAAACTCACAAACAGAACTCAAAGTATAGTTAAAAGAGAGACACACAAATAGGGTCAAAGTATGTGTAAACTGTTATACCTCCTTATCTCTTAAATCCTTAAAATCTACTGCTTCTTTTTTGTTTTTTGTTTTGTGTGGTTTTATGTATTGTCTTATTTTCTGATTTTCTGATTGGCAGTTCAGTTCAGTGCATGAGAGGAGAAATGGAAGAGAGGAAAGCAAACAAACAGCTGAAGTCAAAAGGACGCAAGATCAAAACAAATGTTATATTAGGTAAGATTATTTTTTTAACCATTGAGATCTTTAGCAGAAGGGGTTGGTAATTGTGTTATTATTCGCTAGCACACAGTAAGAATCCCTTTGTTCTTTTAACATTGGGTTGTTGTGTTGTGTGCTAACTGGCTAACTAGCATCTTGAATTCGTCCTGTCGGTCTTCTGATTCCCCTTTTTGAATGACGCTTGCCACCTGCTGGTATGAAGAGTTATTTCTTCTCATGCAGGCGCAGAACTATGTGCTAGTAGAGCAGTGCAGGGACGGGGTTTTCTTGTAGGCTGATGCTGAGGTTAGCATTGCCCTACTTCCCTCGTCACAAAGTCAGTGGGATTTTTCCATTGGATTTTGCATTACTGCGGAAGATAAGCTCTGTGGCAAACAATATGACAAGCTATTCTTCACAAACTAACACCGCTTTTATGATTTTTGACACATAAATACAATCGTCACAAGAAAAAAGCTAATGTTGGGCTATAAACTACACCACAGTCGTATGACTTCAATGTCGCCACCACAATGAGGCTGTAAAGCCATGTTCACTGTGATGATGCTCTGTTGTCTCATTTAGCCCACGTAAAGGCTTCAAAGTTAAGGAGTGGGGTATTTATTGATTGAAAATGTGACAATCTCTTAAACTTGTGTTAAACACAGACCTTATTTCATGTGTCCTACCAAAAACCCATTCAAAAACCTGCTGACTTCAAGACGAGGGAACTGGGGGTGTTGAATAGCTAACTCATTCCCGGTTTAGGACTCATTCTGCAGCACGGTGTTGGTCACTGGCTATAGTCTTTGTGATGTGTTTATGTGCAACTTTTTGGCTGAGACATGAGACATGAGGCAATGCAGCAGTCGGCCTTTGTTGCCACTCGTTCTTTGATGTCAGTTTTAGTGTGTCTGGGCCTTCATAAAGACCATCTTTTAATGTCACTGTGCCAGTAAGATTGTAGTTTGTGTTACTACACTAATTATAATGTGAGGCATTTTGCTTTTCTATATTTGTAGACTTAAAATATCCAAAAAACTTTCATAAGCCCCAAACTACACAAACATACCATAAAACTAGCAGCAGTCTTAACGAAACCCGGAAATTTCAGGGAAGTATACAAGGCAGTGTATGTTGCAGGATTATAGCCCTGCATTACAACATCTAAGTGTTTCTATTCTTCTGGTCACTCCGTGTCGACACTCTCGCTGCCTTTAGAGTTGCACCACAGTAAAAACTAAGCTTATCATGGAGAATAGTAGCTATTCTTGAGTCCACTACGTAAACACAAACTGAGCACCGGAGCACTGCTGCCTGGTCTATATTTAGCTAGCTGGGAGCTTGCTTTTCCTTAGTGTCCCAGATCCTGAGAAACCAGATTTTTCCACTGGGAAGAAGGCCAGCAGCTCATTCTGTCAACAAAAACAACACTTAGACCAAAATCTGTGGCGCAAACAAAAACTTCCTGGGGACACACCTGCCATTCTTACACATAAAAGGTGTGTTTTACACATTCTTATGTTTTGTATTACACAATTATGTAATTTCAAGTGGAAAGAATTCAATCAAAGACAGCCTTATAAATGTATATATATATATCCTAAATCATACCTCTTACACTATAATCTTATTTGGTTATGTATCAAGATGTTAAAAGGGAAAGATTTAGCACACATACTAGTCATTCCATTATAAGAGGACATTTCTCTACAAAGCTTGGCAGCTCTATGAGTCTTACATACCAGAGCCATCACCCTGTGGCCTCACACTGAACTGTAACTTGAGAATAGTCTAAAGAAGTATATCAGATCTATACCAAAGTTAGACACACAACAAAAACTGCAGTACAACAGTATTGGCTGTTGTTGCTCGGAAGCTCAGGGACCTTAGGCTGCCAGCATGCTCCGTCACAATCATTGCAAAATGAACTTCCCCTTAGACTGACTCATAACATCATCAGTGTTAAGGGTAAAACAAGAATTGGCCATTCAGAGGATATAAGGATGACTAACTTTCTGCTGTGTGACAAATTCTACCTATTCTATCATTAGAAAAAGGTGATGAGTGGGTTAAAAGTGAGAGTGATCTCTGACGTACTTAAACAGGATTCTCTTGAGAAGCTGCTGGTCTCCTTCTGTGTAGCCCGGCCAGTCCTTCTGAATATCCTTATACAAAAAATCCTTCAATGTGAAGGTGTTGTCTCTCCCATTCAGGTTCGCCACCTAGGAAATGAGATAGAGGCATGGGTGAGTCTATTTGCCTCTGCAGCTGCTGGAGGCGACTAAGGCAATAAATGTATGTGTGTGTGTGTGTGTAACCTGTTGCAGGTGGCTGTCCAGAGAGTCCTTATCTAATGGCAAGAGGCCATCTTTCTGCAACCTCAGGATCAGCTCAGGCTTCTTGTAAGGCTTGAGGGCCAGCAGGTGTGTGAGGCGCTCTCGGAGCGGCCTGTGCTGAGCTGTGCCCTTCTTCAGTGTACCGCTAGAGATGATGACAGGCCGAGATGTCCTCCGAGACGGGGCGACGTCAGAGAGGCCAGGTGCCGGTTTCCGGATCTGAACCTTCTTACCTGAGGTGTGGAGGAGATACAGAAGAAAGAGAAGAGTTTGAAATTAGAGAAACTGGATAAGGAATAATGTAGCAGATTTCTGATTGATCAAATTGTCAGTGTCATCCCAGTATTTTCTTCCATCCATCCATCCATTTTCATCCGCTTATCCTGGGCTGTGTTTCAGGGGTTGCAAGCTGAGCAAGGTACTCCAGATGTCCCTCTCACCAGCAACACTTTAAAGCTCCTCCTGGGGAATCCTGGGATGTTCCCAGGCCAGATGTGATATATAAACCCTTCAGCGTGTTCTTGGTTCTACCTCTCAGGGTCTCCTACCAGTTGGACTTGCCTGGAATATCTCTAAAGGGAGACGCCAAGGAGGCATCCTGATCAGATGCCCAAACCACTTCAACTGGCCCCTTTTGATACGAAGGAGGAGCGGCTCTACTCTGAACTCCTTACCCTATCTCTAAGGCTGAGCCCAGCCACCCTACAAAGGCAAGTTATTCTGGCCGCTTGTATCTGCGATCTCATTCTTTTGGTCACTACCCAAAGCTCATGACCAAAGGTGAGGGTCAGAATGTAGATGGACTCGTAATTTGACAATTTTGCCTTCCAGGTCAGGTCCCAACACCTGCATCACTACTTAACGGCCTGTCCATCTCACACTCCATTTTACCCCTTGTGATCAAGACCTCAAGATACTTAAGGTGCGTGCCCGATCACATACTTTTTCTACTTTTAGTAGGTACTGCAGCTGCCCTTAAACGTACATACTGTTCCATGCAGTATGAACACAATTGGGACATACTACTGTCTCATAACAGTACGTCCTGAGCTTTGTCCCTCTTGCTTTTATATCCGTTATCTTGGAGATAAAACAAGATGAGACGGAGATCAATCCAGAGAGCTCTGCTGTTGCTACTTTGCAATATAGGCTATGTAGTTTAACTTTAATGTTATAACTGCATAGATTGTAGATTTTACCATATTATATTTGTCAAAGTAAAATTACATCTGCAGTTCTGACACCGTCATTTTTATTGTTGCTTGTAAAATTTATGATTTTTTTTGTTCAATTAAACAATTAATATTCCTATAATTCCAATTCAACTGGTCGTCAGTTACTTGAATGCACTGTCATCAGTCATTGTGACTTCTGACAGCTGTCAATCAGCTGTCAATGAGCTGTCAAGCTGTCATCTGTTTGCGGCTCAGTCTATGTGACATACAGGACTGTGGGTCAGAACAGCCAGAAAAGCATGATTGATCATTGTGGTATTTTTGGCATACTGAATTTTGCATACTATGTATTGGGATATACTACATCTCTTTCTGGCATACTAGAAAGTATGGTAGCATGGGTATTGGAACACACAGTTAGACTCCTTCGCTTGAGGCAGTAACTCTCTCCCAACCCAGAGGGACCAATCCACCGTTTTACGGCAGAGGACCATGGCCTCATATTTGGAGGTACTGACTAGAAACCATATAAACTATCATCACTGTTATCATTCTATAGGAAAAAATAGTTTGTACAGTTAAGCATCTCTAAGATTTTAAATGACAGGAGGAAATTTTCAGTACTACCATCGAGCACCGAAACAAAAGTGCTGGTAGAAAAGGACTCAAGAGACTCCTTGGCTGGCAGCCAACACTTGCTTGTTTTCTTAAGAACAGAAAATAACTATAATCTCTTCCTGAAATATAGTTATTTCTGTCAAAATCTTTTATCTCAGTGACTGATAATGGCTGAGAGAAGTTGCTGATGACTCACAAAAGATGTATCATGCACTGATCTTTACCGCTGCCACGTCCACCCGAGCTCACCTTCCATTACAAACATCAGCTATTATCACCTTCTCCCACTGAGACCTTTTTTCAGGTGATTCAGACTCAATCTTGCGTTGCCTCCTACTGAGACTGACACACTGTTTGCCTCCACAGCACACATGGACTAGACATCATTTTTGACTCACTGCTGAACAGTGAATAGGCTTACAGTGGATTTCTTTCTTTGCAGGCAATGAGGCAGGGCTGCTGTGGTTTTTTACTGCAGCTGTAGCACGATATGTTTTACAGTGCAGGTCAGAGACCAAAACAAAAAGTCAGAAAGTTGATGTATTATGCCCAAGGACATTTCCGCCTCTGTGTGTTTGAATTACGTTCATGGGGCTAGGAAGAAAAGGATCAGTGTGAATGTGGCACATTAGCTGTTTGACCACTGAGGAAGCAACCACCATCAAATTCAATAAAGTCCTGGTTACAGATGAGGCATGGTGGCAGTGTGCTGGCCCTCTGCCATTCAGCCCCAGACCCAAACAACCTGTCTGGTGCAATGTGAACCAATTCACCAGCAGAGAAAAGCTACACAAACATATGGGTCACTTGGCTGTTTGCAGGGTACAGAAATGTATCTATTCTCTTCATGCCTGTTAACTCCCAACACCTTTATAGTGTTTAAAAGGAAATGCCTCTTTCCCATCGACCAGAAGCTTAAAGCTTATTTAATAGTGTCTTTGCAGGTCTGTGACTGAGAAAATATCTGGTGTTTGGTGTTCTGCATGCATCTGTGCCATGTCTCCTCACCTACGTATCTTCCCCCAGGCTTAATGACGATGGCACTCCTACTGCGAGTCTCCTCCTCGACCTGGGCCATGTTTTCCCTTGCCTTCTGGTAGGAGTCGTCTGTGGCACATACTGTAATCTTGTCCTGGATCCCACCCAAACAATCCAGCTGAATGCTCCCTTCACTGCCAAAACAAAGAGGAGATGGTGAGAGAGGAAGATGGGGATAGAGTGACCAGGAGCTTCAATAGAAAAAGAAAGGAAAGCATGGGAAAGGGAACGCCACTTCTTTTAAAAGGTGCTACATGATCAGTTTGACAGAGATAAACCAAGAACATGTTACATTTAAGGACACTAATCCACTGTCAATTCTCAGCATTAACCTTAAATCTCTCACTATTTGCAATAACCCACCCCTTCACTGTGCATTCCTGCCCAGATGAGATCCATTAAACGCCCTGAGGGCACAACTATTATTTTTTCAATTTCCATCCAACTGTGGGTTCCCACAGTACAGACTCAGTGCCGCATCAAATCCCATTCTTTCCCGACTTTCCGCCTCCCTTTGATTCCCCTCCACTTCGATGAGGATTTGGCAGAAAATGAGATGGTGCTGCTGGCGCAGTCAGTGGAAGCTCAGCTCTGTCATTTGGGCTTTAGATTGGAACTCAAGGTTGATTAGGTTCCAGTCAGAGATGTGGATGAACTCTACCTGACCCACTTGTTAAAAATATTTTCAGAATAACGGGGTCACAATCTCGACAAGTCAGAGAGGCAGAAGATTCTTGTTGTTCCCGTTCTGTTTTTCAACTTCCTTCCTCTTCAACACAGACATCTGGTCTACTCCTATGATTCAGTCAGCAAATTTTTTGCATATGTTAGGCCAGAGAAAGTGTAGAAAACAAGTTTCAAAGGCTTGATGCACAGAGGGGAATTGACAAACATCATAAGCAGGTTGACACCAAGAGACAACATTTGCAACGAGAGAAAGTCCTGCACACCCATTTTAATTTACACCACAAATATGTAAAAAACAAAAATGCATGCACTGTGGACAATTTGCAAAAACTTACTTTGTTTGATATTTAAAGCAGCTGTGCAGAACTTTTTACCATTTATAAAACTGTCCCTACTTTGTAGATCCGCATATTTATTTGAACCCAACAGCGACAAGAAAGCCTTTCTCTATATGGCTATTTAGCATAGCCTAGCTCGGGTCAGACATCATCTCGAGTTGGCCCTTTTCCTAATTGACAGGTATGTAATTTTTGTTTTTATTTAGAGAATATACCGCAACTTGTTAGACATTGTTTCACTTCAATATATGACAACATGGAAGTTATAAGCAAGCTAAATGTAAAATTAGCTGATGTGAACCACTTTTGTCTAGTAAAGTTACAACAAACGCCACAAAATTATCTGTGACTGTGACCATGAACACAAATATACAGCAGGCAGTTGTCCTCAGTATATAAGAAATTCAGAGCTACACCAGAACATTTATAATTTTCCTCTCACTATCCAAAACAAATACATGCGGTAATTGCCGGTTGCAGTCGAGATTTTACGAATGAAGCCGAAGGCTGCAGTCGGAATTTTATGACACCAGGCTGTGGGTGTCATACCGCCTCGACCAACTGGGGTGCTATAATCAATGAAAACGGAAAGTTCCGCACAGCTGCTTTAAATTAAGAAAAATGTTGGAAGAATTACGGGTTAAAGGGAAACTGTCACCTGCTAAATGACCACCACATATCAGTTATTCACTGTGTTGTTTTTCTTGCTTGCCTCCACAGTGAACAGCAAAATGCATGAGATTGAGAGGTACTGAGACTACGACTGGATAAACAAGACTTGGATTATACTGCGCAAGTTGTGTGACGGTTTGAAAAAGGATGTTTTGATATAGTATTATTGTTGTGAAAAGCTGTCCCTGTTTACTTCAACTCATTAGGAATATTTGCCCTTTTTTGGATTCTTCATTCATCATGGAGACGTGCGAAATAAACAGCATTTTCCTCAGAAACTCAATGTAACACGAGGTGAGTAACTGATACACAATGGGATCATTTGGCAGGTGAAGTATTCCTCTAACACCGTGTCTTATTTGCCTGTATCATCTTCCCACATTTGTTTTATTAAAAATAAATAGGGCAACTACATCATTTGCCAGAGTAATGGCAATAAACCTCAGGGTTTTCATCTTTCCATTTAGCAGCTGCTACTTGGAGCCAAAGTCCCGATTACGTTCATCAGAGATGTCTGTTAAGCATCACTGAGAGGCCTGGTGATTCACCTCAGGTCCCAACTATGTTAAACAAACAGATTGTCTGCCTGGAAACACTCATTAGGCAACTCTGTCCAAACACTGCTTATTATTTACACAGAGCTCAAAGACATTCAAAGGCTAACCCACAATTAAAATAATCGCTGACATTACAGTCAGCGAATCCATGTTTCTGAAAAAGAAGAAGTAGCTGCACATTTGATGGACGAGAGACAAGGGAAAGTGAGTGAGTGTTAGTGTTTTCTCTCACCTGGTGATGTACTGCTGGATGCAGTCGAAGCTGCCCTGGGGGTTATCTCGGCCCACATTAGACAGGTAGAAAGTAAACGTTTGCAGTTCACCGGAATTTTCTGACCGTGGTATTGAAATTTTCTGTTGAAGACAAAGAAGAAAAACACACACACATAATGAACATGAGACATCCCTCTTCTTAATTATTCGGTGTCAGAGCAACCTTAATAAACCACAAATTCTACAGACACACATTTTCCAGAACAAAACCACAGTTCAATAATGATTCGATTCTTGACCTCCTGTGCTTTCTTCACTCTTTTTCGGAGCTGTGTATTATTAACACCAGTGAGATACTTTTCAGACGAGCACTAGGGGAGGATGACTAACTGCACTCCACACCCTATTTGTAGACTTAAACACTCATTTTTCTTTTTGATGTATTCAGTACTATAAACAAATGCCTGTTCTTTATTCCTTGAAAAGTTGGCCCTGACTAGGCAAAGCTGTGAGTAAGCCCCAGGCATTTTCTCACTGGCTTCAAAAACACTGAAAACCTCACAAACTGCAGCTAAAATCTACTGCCTTGTCTTCCTGCAGCTTATTTCTACCAGGACAGTCTGTGCACTGCAGTGTTCCTAATTGTGTGATTGGAGGAAGAGCAGGTAAATTACTATAACAGAAGAACTATGATCGGTATTTCAGCAGACTCTGGCCTTCAACACAGTTATGCACATCCTATTCGCCCCAGAATTACCCACATCCTCCCACACTACAGGTGTTAGCTTAGAAGACTACAGAGGAAGCTGAGTTAACCTCTGTCAGCTAACCTCTAATTAGACAGCTGCTGGACAACTTGTTTAAATGGAGGATATCATTCGACACATGCCGGATGCTGCATTTGTGCTTTAAAATACATCTTGCACTATCACAGTCAGGCACTGGGGGAACATTTTAATGCAGAGCACAGAAGCATTTCAGTAATCTTCTTACAGAAATATGAAAGGGAGCAGAGAAAGCACAGAGTGACACTGACACCTCTTGGGTCTACCTGATTCCACCTCAAAATTGTTTTAACACCCTATCATTAGGATGTGCAGTCAGGAGTGAATTAATCTGACACGTCCTGAAGAGAAAAACAGTGAGGCCGGGCAGAGGGTTGTGTTTCCAGGAGGGCCTGGCAGCCTGACCCTCTGCTCAGTTCTGTTTTCACGAGCATGAATTCAAGCGGTTTCACAGCCAAGGACAGTGCATCGCGCTGAGCCACGGTAACAAAAGACAACTGAATTAGATGGTTTTAACTGGGAGCAGCTCATTGCCATTGACCCAACCTAGATCAGAGGCCCAGCCTGTGACTCACTGGCTTCTGCACCAGCGCTCAGACTGACGTGCAGTCACACTGTAGGCAGCTCAGCTTTGTTTACCAAAGGTCTCGACACATGTGAAGGCTGCAGGTGGCCGACTATAAATAAATACAATGCCCTTTATTTGTCCTCCTCAAAGACCTGTGCTCTCAGTTATCCATAATGCTCCACCTCAGTATAACATTACACACAAACACACTGCCTGTGCTGCAGCCTACCTCATACAGATAAATCAATAACTGATATTATTTCAAAGCACAACTATTGCAATATTAGTTTTACTTTTTATCATCATCACCACTGTGACAATTACCAACAGTTAACACAGGATGAGGACCCTCCTACACCACAAGGTTGTCACACGTAAGGACACATTTACAATGGCAGGAGGCGGAGGTGGAGACATTTTTGGCAGCAGAGGTAAAAATACAAAGTGTTAAACTCAAAAACTATTACAAACGACAGTCTGACACCCCCGTGAGGAGCTGACCTGCCTCAGGGTAAAGAGATATGTTAACATCTTAAGTTCTGAATGTTCTTGCTGCTTCAACCCCGTCTCTTGGCCCGCAGGCACCACCATGCCGAAACAGCATTCTTTGACAAGTTCTTCACACGGTTCTTACAGACTGAGGTAAGTTAGATTTAAGACTTTAAGCATTTTTAAATGCTACTTTGAATGAAATGTAATACTAATTGCAGTAACAAAAATTGAAGAAAAAAAAAACATGGATCTACATCAGTGACCAAAGGTTACGGACAATTTTACCCAGATGTTTATTGAAATATAAAACATGGCATTTTTGTTTCATGATGGACGAGGGTAGAACAGAACTGTGAAATACCTGACCAGGTTTTCTTGCTAATTTTGTTTCTCAGTCTGCATGTGGGATTCCATTGCCTTGATCCGCTTAAAGGACAACTTTGGTATTTTTCAACCTGGGCCCTATTTCCCCATGTGTATGTGTGCATATGATTCATGGGTACAAGTCGTTTTAAAATTGATTCAGTATTGAGGGAGGCGGATGCAACCGGAGCCGCGAAACGAGCTAAAACGGTAACAGGGGCAAATGTGTCCCGTACAAGTTTGCGCATTAAAAGTGCTTTTTTTTTGCCACTGACCGGTTCAGATCGCCAGTGCTATGAGTGCTATGAGTGGAGTCAGCTGTCAGTCAGTGTTGGAGCAGAGAGGGGGAGGGCGGCCCCGCTGGGTACTGTAAGTGATTATGTGTGTATGAAGTGTGTGTGTTACGCTAGAAGAGTCAGAGGACAGAGTCTTTTACGTGCTACCCCCTGGAGTGTTACCGGAGTTTTTGGAGTGCTCAAATAAACGGGGCTTTTTCCCGAACGCAAGAACAGGATGTCGCGCAACACCCCGTACAGCTTTCATAGGCTGCCTTTGTCGGACGGCAAGATGCTGAAGTTGTGGCTTGTGCTACAAATGGATGCTAACACTCCTGTCCAGACACTGCGCCTTGCAGACCATCGGGTCTGCAGTGCTCACTTCTCCCAAGATGACTACTGCCAGCCGAAGAAGAGAAGACATCCAATCCCAAAACACCTCTTCCTCAAGAAAACGGTTGTCCCACGAGTAGAGAGAGCTACAGACACAGTGGAGCAAAGCTCGTGACATCACACAGCCCAGAGGTAAGGGAAAGGCTAAGTTAGTATGCTATTTACAGAGATAGCACTGGCGATCTGAACCGGTCAGTGGCGAAAAAACACACACTTCATACACACATACTCATTTACAGTACCCAGCGGGGCAGCCCTCCCCCTCTCTGCTCCAACACTGACTGACAGCTGACTCCACTCATAGCACTGGTGATCTGAACCTGTCAGTGGCAAAAAAAAGCACTTTTAATGTGCAAACTTATAAGGGACGTATTTGCCCCCGTTACCGTTTTAGCTCGTTTCGCGGCTCCGGTTGCATCCGCCTCCCTCAATACTGAACCAATTTTAGAAGGAGTTGTACCCATGAATCATACCCACACATACACATGGGGAAATAGGGCCCAGGTTGAAAAATACCTAAGTTGTCCTTTAAGAAAAACGTATTGCAGTAAATACATTGAGCGTCGTATATATATCGGCAAGTTTCAGCCATGACACATAATCTGGGTTAAATAGCCAGTATTCATGGAATCTGTACTTCCCCATGTTGCCCGAGGTACAGTGACAGCTCACTGGCAGACAGTGGATCCTCTGCTCTTTGTATCTCAGTTGGAAACAAAATATAAGCTTTGTTAGTTCTGCCATCCTGATCTGGGTGACATTAAAGCGAGAGGTACAGTACAGGCCAAAAGTTTGGACACACCTTCTCATTCAATGTGTTTTCTTTATTTTCATGACTATTTACATTGTAGATTCTCACTGAAGGCATCAAAACTATGAATGAACACATGTGGAGTTATGTACTTAACAAAAAAAGGTGAAATAACTGAAAACATGTTTTATATTCTAGTTTCTTCAAAATAGCCACCCTTTGCTCTGATTACTGCTTTGCACACTCTTGGCATTCTCTCAATGAGCTTCAAGAGGTAGTCACCTGAAATGGTTTTCCAACAGTCTTGAAGGAGTTCCCAGAGGTGTTTAGCACTTGTTGGCCCCTGTGCCTTCACTCTGCGGTCCAGCTCACCCCAAACCATCTCGATTGGGTTCAGGTCCGATGACTGTGGAGGCCAGGTCATCTGCCGCAGCACTCCATCACTCTCCTTCTTGGTCAAATAGCCCTTACACAGCCTGGAGGTGTGTTTGGGGTCATTGTCCTGTTGAAAAATAAATGATCGTCCAAATAAACGCAAACAGGATGGGATGGCATGTCGCTGCAGGATGCTGTGGTAGCCATGCTGGTTCAGTGTGCCTTCAATTTTGAATAAATCCCCAACAGTGTCACCAGCAAAACACCCCCACACCATCACACCTCCTCCTCCATGCTTCACAGTGGGAACCAGGCATGTGGAATCCATCCGTTCACCTTTTCTGCGTCTCACAAAGACACAGCGGTTGGAACCAAAGATCTCAAATTTGGACTCATCAGACCAAAGCACAGATTTCCACTGGTCTAATGTCCATTCCTTGTGTTTCTTGGCCCAAACAAATCTCTTCTACTTGTTGCCTCTCCTTAGCAGTGGTTTCCTAGCAGCTATTTGACCATGAAGGCCTGATTCGCGCAGTCTCCTCTTAACAGTTGTTCTAGAGATGGGTCTGCTGCTAGAACTCTGTGTGGCATTCATCTGGTCTCTGATCTGAGCTGCTGTTAACTTGCGATTTCTGAGGCTGGTGACTCGGATGAACTTATCCTCAGAAGCAGAGGTGACTCTTGGTCTTCCTTTCCTGGGTCGGTCCTCATGTGTGCCAGTTTCGTTGTAGCGCTTGATGGTTTTTGCGACTCCACTTAGGGACACATTTAAAGTTTTTGCAATTTTCCGGACTGACTGACCTTCATTTCTTAAAGTAATGATGGCCACTCATTTTTCTTTAGTTAGCTGATTGGTTCTTGCCACAATATGAATTTTAACAGTTGTCCAATAGGGCTGTCGGCTGTGTATTAACCTGACTTCTGCACAACACAACCGATGGTCCCAACCCCATTGATAAAGCAAGAAATTCCACTAATTAACCCTGATAAGGCACACCTGTGAAGTGGAAACCATTTCAGGTGACTACCTCTTGAAGCTCATAGAGAGAATGCCAAGAGTGTGCAAAGCAGTAATCAGAGCAAAGGGTGGCTATTTTGAAGAAACTAGAATATAAAACATGTTTTCAGTTATTTCACCT